TGCCATCGTATGACGTCAGAACCCAGCGTATACGCTAGTCGGGCGACGGAGGCGGAAGTGCGTCAATAATCGACGTCCGGGTCATTTTCGGGGTACACCTGACAAAAACGTACTAGAAATCCGATCACCAGAAGACTAGTGCGTACGCAAAACAAAGTACCTGAAAGAATACGACGGCACCCTCCCTGGCTTCAGTCATTGAGTGTGAAGGCCAGCACAGATAGTTTCATCGGTAGTCTGTCTACGTCTCAGCAACAAAATATTCAGCACTGTGCACGCCTCCGCCTACGCTCGATATCCCGGGTTAAATTCATTTCGTTATGATATGGCTGCTGAACAATGAACCAAAAACCTATCAATTTAAAAGCCAAAGTTCAACCCAACCACGGACCAGTTAACTCCAAAGTCGTCTAGCTAGCCTCTTTCATATTTTATTTTACAACACAAGACTTTGGGCACGCATGATAATCAAGCGTTACCTTTAGCTTAATGACATTCTTCTTCAATGTGACTAGTTGATGTGACAATGTCCTAACGAATAGTGGCGTACCAATAAAACGTTAATGATGTGACTGTTCTGTATTTTACGTGGCAAAATTCAGATTCATCTCAAGGTACGACACGAAGCATCTTGGGTTTTGGTGGACGGAGGTCGTGCATGTACCCCATTTCGCAGTCAGATGGTCAAAAGTGAGCGCTCTCACTGTTCGGCGCCCTCCTCTTCCTCCTCCTCGTCGAACTCTCCCTCTTCCTCGGCAGTGGCGTCCTGATACTGCTGGTACTCGGACACCAAGTCGTTCATGTTGCTCTCGGCCTCGGTGAACTCCATCTCGTCCATACCCTCGCCTGTACCAATGGAGGAAGGCCTTCCGCCGGAACATGGCAGTGAACTGCTCGGACACTCGCTTGAAGAGCTCCTGGATAGCGGTGCTGTTGCCAATGAATGTGGCAGACATTTTCAGACCGCGCGGGGGAATATCACACACAGCCGTTTTTAACATTGTTCGGGATCCACTCGACAAAGTAGCTGCTGTTCTTGTTCTGGATGTTCAACATCTGCTCATCCACCTCCTTCATCGACATCCTACCACGGAAGATGGCGGCGACAGTGAGGTACCTGCCGTGACGGGGGTCGCACGCAGCCATCATGTTCTTGGCATCGAACATCTGCTGTGTCAGCTCCGGGACGGTCAGTGCTCTGTACTGCTGGCTACCGCGTGAGGTCAGGGGCGCGAACCCGGGCATGAAGAAGTGCAAACGGGGGAAGGGCACCATGTTCACGGCCAGTTTCCGCAAGTCGGCATTCAACTGACCGGGGAAACGCAGGCAGGTGGTGACGCCGGACATGGTTGCCGAGACCAGGTGGTTCAGGTCGCCGTACGTCGGCGTCGTCAGCTTCAGCGTCCGGAAGCAGATGTCGTACAGGGCCTCGTTGTCGATGCAGTACGTTTCGTCCGTGTTCTCTACCAGCTGATGGACAGACAGCGTAGCGTTGTACGGCTCCACCACCGTATCAGACACCTGAAACACAAATAGCATAAAATCATTTGAGTACATACACAAGCTGCACTGAATTACTCGAAGTGGCTATGTGACAAATAGTTATTCGACAATCTTTGTTTAAATGCATTTTAAGTACATCTGCAAAGCAAGTATATTCAAGTGCGTTGGCGAATGAATAAATTAGGTCGATGTATGTACCCGCAATGACGAATGAACGGGAGGAGACGGGGGTGTCCAATCATACAACTAGGCCTTATACTCGTATGGTAGAAGTTTGTCTCCATTCAACTTGCCTTTGGAGAGGGCACGACGCTGAAGGTGTTCATGATTCGGTCTGGGTATTCTTCACGGATCTTGGAGATGAGCAGAGTTCCCATTCCGGATCCAGTTCCACCGCCCAAGGAGTGTGTCAGCTGGAAACCCTGCAGGCAGTCACAGCTTTCCGCTTCTTTGCGAACCACGTCGAGCACCGAATCGACCAGCTCTGCGCCCTCTGTGTAGTGACCTTTCGCCCAGTTGTTACCTGTAAACAGAAACGTAACAGTCAACTAGGGAAGTGGTCTACGAGTGACGGAGCATGCAAGGCACGATGCTGGCCAGCCAGTTACCCCGTATGCTAAGGAATCAAGTAGATTGCAAATCAAGACGTAAGACGATAGCTTGAGAATTGAGTAACATACCGGCGAACGAATTTACCGTCCAAAACACCAAAAATAAGTTTAAGCTTAGCTTGCTTGTTATTCTACAAAAATGACGATTGCAGCTTAGCTATAACAACTTACAAGTAAAGAGCGACATTCCCGGAACGACTGACCGGAAAACAACTCAAAGCGCCGGTAGAGTTGGATAACACGTTAAAAACAAAATGATAAAACGCGATAGCGTACCTGCACCACTCTGGCCGAAGACGAAATTATCTGGTCGGAAAATCTGTCCAAATGGGCCGGCACGGACGGAATCCATTGTACCTGGTTCCAAATCCACCAAGATAGCCCGCGGTACATACTTGCCACCTGATGGAAGACAAAGCGTAAAACGTCAGACAGCACTACTCTTACAAATCGAGCGCTTCAATCATCGCTATTTTGCGGCGTAACTAAAATCAATGCAGAATGCCCGAGCGCAGAAGAAAACGCATAAGCAAAAATGACATGAGGCTGGCTAAACGTTTCAAATTGCGCTTTACAATTACCGCAAACCTTAAAATTACCCTCACGATGACCCCAGTTCGCTTTAAGACATTGCCACTTTTTCATACAGCCCCTCTGTCGTTTTAATGCAGAACATCAGCAAATCAAACATCAATGAAACTTATTAATATAAATTATTGAGATTAGGTATATTGAAATAAGTGCTTAGTACGGGAAAATTTCCTCACCGGACGCCTCATTGTAGTAGACGTTTATCCTCTCCAGCTGTAGGTCTGAGTCACCGTGGTATGTTCCCGTCGGATCAATACCATGCTCGTCTGAGATCACCTCCCAGAACTGAAACAAAATTAACGCTTTTGGGAGGACATTTATAAATGGTGCTGCCTCCCAACCTTCTAACCACTAATCTTCTGCACTCTTCTAATCAATTCTAACTGTTAAACAAATCCTATCCTCACCTTTAGCCCTATGCAGCGCCATTTATTGATTCACGTTTCACTCAATCTCCCGATGCTGATCTCAAATGCTTCTTTCGTTGATGATTAAATATATGTACCACCGGTGGACTCCGGGGAAAACAACAACAACAACATTCACCTCGCGAATAGGAATTGTCGTCTACGAGTAGATGGATGCAGGCAAGTAGCGTGGAAGAAAAGGGCACAATAAAGCTTTAGCTTTGACATTACATTAACTTTTCACTTTCTCCATGCACCGAGATTGGACCTAAAACGTCTAATCATTTCAACCGGCCACTTGTTACGCATAACAGCAGACAATCCAGCAGTATCAATCCAGATTGAGTTCGCTTACGACTCAACACTTTTCTATGCTAGATAATTGGCTCAAAATTCAGCCACAAGAGAAATATAAGGGAAATAGCGACACAAGCACCGAATTCTTAGCGACCCCATGGTCACAACGAAATTGAAATCAGCCGCTAAATGAGTCGAGCTTTACAAAAAGAACGTACTCACCTTGGCTCCGATTTGGTTGCCGCACTGGCCAGCCTGCATATGAACAATCTCTCTCATTATTGCCGCGTGTACTTTCAAAAAATCAAAAGAAACAACCACTGCACCAACCCCTCACAACACACAACACAGAATTTCGTCTCGAATATTCGAATTTGTCACGCGGGAATAAAGACGCGCTAAGAACGGCGTAAGAAATATGTTTTCATCTTACGGCTCTAAGCAGAATACTTTTGTAAGAATTATTTTGTTTCAAACGATAGCTTTTTCACATTTTCAAGCACGAATTCTAATTTGAAGCCTAACTACACCAATTTTTAACACTGAAATGCTAAAACTTTGCTTTAAAATAGCATCAAAATTAAACTATATGTCTACACTTCCCGCTGCTTGGACTACTTTTCCAAGTGAGCTCCGTATTTCACAACCCATTTTATAGCAATATTACTTGCAAATAAACTAGTAAAATTTGGAACGTTTTTAACTGAAATACTCGCCCTTCATATTAACAACTTTGGAACATCGTTGAACTCCAATGTTTAACCAGTTGGACCTAGCAAAGCTCAGGATCTCCGTAAGGTGCTGCCACCTCTCATATACTTTAGGGCGACATCTAGGAAATTGAACTTTTCCATGCTTTGGTCGCTTTGGTCATAAATCTCCAGGTGGGGATTGCAACAACTTATATGACCTCGATTGCAACCATGTTGATCCGCGGGAAAAGTACGCATCGCAAAAGTACGTAGGGATTGCAATCATGTTCCAGCGACCAGTAGTTTTGACGCGATGCCTGAACTCTCACCTCCGGTCTCCAGTCCACTCCAGTCTCCACTCGAGTGGGATGGGATGCACCTGTCCGAACCTGACAGTAGGTCGCCCTATCATCTGACCTGACAGATGTCGGTCTAACTGCTGTGGTTGGTTCGATTGCTGTTCGAGGAACTCATCATCGCTCCTATGATGCCTCTGTTCCTTCCTCAGGACGCACAGATACTCAAGTCTAAATAAATCCCTGATCCGAGTTCGACAGTCATCTTCATCCAAAGTGAGTCGCTCCTCAGGAGCAGGCCCATCGTGCGGTGGGATGACCTTTCACGGGGCTGGGTAGCCCGTCCATAGAGACGGGCTCAGCCCCGACGATAATGGCAGTCCAGACCAATGTCCCTCCTAATTCCTAGTCATTTCGACTCCGCAAGGCATCTTAATACAGACTGAAAGGCTGGAGCCAAGCAAACGAGAGCACTACGACCAAACTTTCGCGCATTGTGTGGCAATTGACAATAACATATTTGGTGCACAATGTGCGACATGTTCATAATTACTTCAAAGCATAATTATTTCTCACTGGCTTACCCAATAACTAAAAATGTAATACAAGAAAATGTGCATTATGTATTATACACGAATGAATTTCTAATGAAACATCCGTACGAAGATGAGCAATACAGGACGTACAATGCAATATCTTCACGATCCATCTGCTTCATCCATCAGATAATCAACGGCGAGCATGAGATACAGCATCCAACACGTCCCGCATTCCGTCTGCATGCACGTCAATGACGTAAAACAATCATCTAACCCAGAAACACGGGTGTTTTACTGGAATTTTACACCTATTCAGCTAGTGTGCAGTGTTTTCCGGTCACCCAGATCGGTATCAGGACCCAAACGCTTGTAAAACTGCAGTTAAACTCCACCGAAGGGAAATATTACCGAGCGAGATCAAAACGAACTTACAATTCGTGTGTCCAGTACACATCATAGTAGCCCTCGTCCCGATTCACGACACAGTCATCCCCAACGCAAAACACCGCTAACAGCTCGACTCTCACAGTCCAGCCCAATCGGCGCTCAGAGTTTGCGCTTGCGCGGCATTTTTGGCGGCCTCAGGAAGGGATTGTCGATACCCTCCGGCTGCTGTGGCGGCGGCTCGCGCGCGCTGCTCCTGCTCTGCCCCGTCCTGCGGCGAGCTCTTTCTCTTGCGCGGCACGTAGGCCTCCTCCTCCTCGAAGATCTGGTCGCGAGGGTCCAGCGCTTGGAGGTAGGGGTTGACGATCGACCGACAGGCGATCACTGCGAACGGCGGAACAGGGGGCGCCACCGGCGGGAGACGCGTCAGCGAGGGCCACACGGACGTGATCAGCTGGGCCGATCACGCCCGGTAAGAGCACGGGATCAGTACGAGCACGAATCATGAAAATCATCTATTGTTCGAGAATAGCTTGAGTTGTCTGCTAAACAAGGATAAAGCACAAACACGAGTAAGCAAAGACTAGCGAGCAACGATTTATCTAAATCCGAGATCCGTTGGAAAAAAAAACGGACTAAAGAGAGATAGCAACTAACTTCAAACACATCATATAACAAAGTCTAAATCACCGCATCACCTTGGATTGCAGCAACTGCATTAAAAAACTGCCCACCCAGCCCTCAACCCTTCAACAGCCCACCGGATCACTCACGCGGGAACTGGGCCTGCTCGTCTGAGTCAAACAGTTTATCGACGGGGCCCGTTTTGGCGATGAACCGGGTGAGCGCCCGCTCCATATCCCGCTTCTGGCTGGCGGCCCGCTCTCGAACGGCCTCATAGTTGGTGATGGGCTGCTTGTGGGTGGGCGTCTGCACGTAGGCGTGGCTATCGGGGAAGGCGGGCAGGTGGTCGGGGATGTGGGCCGGGTGGTTCTGCTTCTCCCCGACCTGCAGCGTCGGCGGCTGCTTGGTCGGCGCCGACGGCAGCGGCGTAGGCAGCGTCGGACGATGACGACGCTTGGCGAACTCCTGGGAGAGACGGAAGTGCGCGGTCAGGAGTTTATGGTGCACGGCTCAAATGTCGAGTCTGACTGCCGACGGAAGTATATGTACGTGAGACATTAAGTACAAATTAGCCTAAATTGATATATTTTTTACGTTTTTATTGGGGCTTTCGGGCGCGCCGACTACTAAGGTCATTTTGCGCCCGTTGCGCCCGCAGAATATGTGCGAAACACTGTTGCTAGCACGAGACACCTCACCATTTTACGATAAGTACGAGCGTCGAGTTCCACGAAGCACGGTACTAATTGTCTAGCATCCGTTACCGTACACAAGCCAACTACTATCAGCTGCACCATCAGCAGCAGACAGCATCATACCGTGATCGAGGCGACGTTGAAGCCGTTGTCGACCAGCGCCATAACCACGTCGCCGACGACGAGGTCGCTGCGGCAGGCCAGGTCGCTGTACGCCTTGCTGCTCCGGCCCAGCTCCTTCAGCACTGAAACACACCGGCAGGCAGCGGTAAAATTCGCAGACCAAAAGCAATGCTGGGGGGGGGGGGGGGGTCGATATGCTTACTAGCTTGTTGTGCAACCCGATAGACCAAATACCTGATAACGTCTGTTCCCGATAAACCAGTGTAAAGTGTGTTCAATGTTTAACAAATGGCTAGTGCGATATGCATGTATAATAGTTAAACGGTTCTCTCCTGACTAGTCAAGAACTTTCTTGCGGGCCAAAAACTTGACTGGTTCCAAGTCCGATGATGTTTAACTCGGTTCACTCACCACTGATGAAGCTTTCTGTGAGTGAGGAGAGTGCTGCCGGCTCGATACTGGTAAATCCCGCCTGCTGACAAACTGATGAGACTGCCATCGCCATGACCCTTCTCCAGGGTGTTGCTGGCAGGGTGCCGTCAGCCTCCATCACTGGATGAGTTGCTCAGTGCAGACTGCACGCTGGTGGTGAACTGTAGGCAAGACAGAAATCCATCAGAACAATAACAGTACATAGGAATAACAGTGGGAATACAATAACAGTGTATAGGATACGTCAAAAGTATTGATACCTTCCGTCTATCCGATATAACTTGGAATATTTCCAATATGGTTCCAAACATCGCGTTGCTGAGAACGTCCTTGCGTTCCTGCATCCTTCCCTGAGGCGTACCAAGATTAGCTGAGCAGCTATTTTGACCCAGAGGGTAACTAGCCTGGGTCATCACTTACCTAGTGATCGAAGCATGAACTACGGCCCAGACATGAGGATCCAATTTTTCAGTTAAGAGGTGCGTAGTCGCGCTATTGGCATGCCTTATCGTGGCAACTCACAGAATGACGTTGCCTGACACTTAACCCTCGCCCGTATTGGTGTTTTTCCAGCCGCGAGCGTATAAGGGGGGGGGGGGTCCGTTGGACCCCCCCCCCTTGCCGTTTCGCCCCTGATCGAGCTAGAGCTTCGGGGAAAAAACGAGCGTGTTGCCCGTGACGAGAGGAAGCCGATGATACCTAATTTTTTGGTCTTAGGTCATTGGTTGACCTTGCAGGTCAGGTCAATGACCCAAAAGTCGGGAAAATCGGGACCTGTTAGAACGTCGTAAAGTGTGGCTGCTACGGGGTTTTTCGGGGTGCTGATCACGAATATCATGTTAGTTTTGATCACAGATGATGTCTTCATGCATTTAGTCCAGGTCGGGTCAGGTCAGGTCAGGTCAACCAGTAGGGGTCCTGCCGGGTATTCCTAGTAGGTGTCTGCCGCCTCTGACAGCTTCGTAACATGTTACGAAGGCACCAAAACTACTTCGCAAATGTTCAAATGGTTGCTAAATTCGAATTCAGCTGCAAAAACTGGCCTAGAAACATGTAAAACTCGAAAAAGTGAACCGAGGTCATCAAAGGTCAATGACCTGACCTGACCTTCAGGTGACCTTGACACCCACCCTAACGCATGGGGGCAACATCATATCACATGTTTGAACGCTTGAAACCACGAAAAGACTGCAAACGCGCGGCTAATGCGAGCCGACATACGCCGAATCGCGATTCCGGCCAAACATGGTCACGAAAAGTAGGTCACAGGTTAAAGGTCATTGGGGTCAGGGTCATGAAATTTTCAGAGTAGGTGTAAAATTGATTAACGCGAGGGTAGGTACTGAAAGTTTCGTCGCGATCGGCCGCTTTTTACGCGAGATATTCGCGAAAAACCATGGGGGGGGGGTCCGTTCGACCCCCCCCCCCTATACGGGCGAGGGTTAAGGATGCCAGTCCTCACTATCAAGCGCTGGTGGAAGAAGTTTAAGGAGACGGGGGGGGGCGTCATAGGAAGACCCCAACCTCGGTGGCCCTTCTGCATTTCAACCTGGAGAGAAAGCACCTGGAAATTCCGAGCACTCTGCAAAAAAGCTGGGTAAAATTCCAACTCAAATGGATCATCTGGAGTCCGGGACGATTGTCCGGCGATACTGGTGGGACAAACTTCTACTGAAGGCCCACAAGGCTCATGTAAGGCCAAAATTGGCGGAAAATCAGTGATTCCAGAGCCTTAAATTTTGCAAGAAAGGCAAGAACAGGATGGTGGAAGAGTGGAACTGAGTAGAAACGGGCCATCATTAGAGACAAGTCTCTATTCCACCTGTTTTACCAACAAACCACCAGATAAAGCGAGCATGGGTTGAAAACATGATTAAGGTTCCGAAAACTGTATCGTGAAATTCTGGTTTCATTTGATGCCATAGCGCAGGATTTCCTATCAGGGCCTGGGCTAGCTGCATGCGATTCCGTTGGAAATGGTGATCGATGCTGACTACTATATACAGAATATCCTGAAGAAAGCCTGTCTACCTGCCATCAACAGGATGACCACCATGGGTTCCGTTCTTCAGCGGTGCATGGTGCCAACTGCCACACAGGTCGGATAACATTTTCCAGGAAGACAATGCTTCTTCTCATTGGTCTCCCTGATCTTAGAGATGGTGCCAGGCGCCAGCAGCATCTTCCTACTATCTGGGCGAATGATACAAGGCTAGGGAACAAACCCAAGCTAAATGCAATCAAATTGCTATGGGGAATTTGTTGCTATGGGGAATTTGTTGCTATGGGGAATTTGATCGAATTGCTATGGGCTGGTCCCGTAGCTCAGTTGGTAGAGCGTTGGACTCCATGTGGTGAGAGCACGTGTTCCCGGTTATAAAAGACCGGGTTCGAAGCGTGACGGGCGCTTGACATTTATGGGCCTCCTGACAGGTATGGTTGCAGTTGGTGGCAGGCCGTAGCCAGGCGAAGTCAGTGAGGGCCGAGGAGACCGGCCATGTGCAGCTATGTGCACACGTTTAACTTTGTACTCTAAATTCTGTCATAGAACTGGAATAGCGCGATCAGAGGGTAGGGGGCAGGGTCACCACAACCAGCTTCGTTTAGCGGTGGCTCTGTCCTTGTGAATCATTCCTAGCAAAATGTTTGGACTAAATCTATTAGAAAAAAATTGTGCAGCAGGAGCTTAACCAGACAAAACCTCCCAGCAACCCCACACAGCTCAAATAGGCAGTCAAGAGGACAGGGGCAGATCCAGCCGATCCGTTTGGGGAGGGCAAAAGTTTCCGACCTATCCGACGACCCCTATCCGCCCCCGCACTGGGAGGAATGTAAGATAAATTTTGGATGGGGATGCAAAATTTTCTCAAGGGGCCCCACTGAAGGTTTTGGGCCCCTTTACTTTTTCAAGCTGTCAATCATCGATTTATGAAAACCAAAAGTTAAGGAAACAATCCATACAGGAAGTTATCCAAAATGTTTGTATATTTCAGTGAACCTAACAAAATCACAGCATACCTAAATAAGTGAAATGCAACAAGTTTTTTTTTACTGGGTGATTTTTCTTATGCTAACCACCACCCGCAAGCCTCAAACTACTTTTCTGGATCCGCAGTGGACCTTTGAGAGCCCTACGGGTCCACTCTTACAAGACCGTTAAAAACCCTCTGGAAACTTAATGACTCAATGGAGGCTCCTCCAGAAGCCTTCACGACTTCTCAGATTGAATGAGTCCCCGACCAGGGTCGGTTCCTCAGAAGGTGCTGAAGGGTTTCAGAAAGCGTAGGCTCGAGAGTCTGGAAAGCTCTCAAAGACCGGCATCGGACCCAAAAAGCCTGTATGGAGGCCCTCAAAAACCGGGATAGAGGCCAAAGGAGCTGATGTTTAGCCTAAAGAACCGGTGTGGAGGAAAGGGTAGAAGTCTGAGTGGGGCCTTCAGGGGCAAACGTTAGGGCCCCAAAAGTATGTGTGAGGCTCTTGGAGGCAGGTAGGTCCCTGGAGCGTGCAGCATGGGGTCCCAAGAGCTCGCGTGTGAGCCCAAAATTCGGCTTCATGTCCGTGGAACATGCATGGGGATTCTTAGAAGCCGCTTGGACACATATTTGATGGGTCGTGGGTACCAAGATCGATGTAATGGTCATAAAACCCGGTGTAGGGCCAAGAAGTTCCGGTGTTGAGACTCTCAGAGGCCGGCGAAGGGGCACCAGGAGCGGATACAGTGTCTCAACAAGCCTACATGGGACCTGACAATCAGTGTGGAATCCCACGAGCCTGCGTAAGCCCTCAGATACCTTTGTAAGGCCCTCAAAGGTCGTTGTGAAGGGCCTCTGAATCTGAAATCTCGCGGGGGCCCCGAGGCCAGCATGTCCCCTGCCTGCGTTAAGGCCCTCCAGAGGCCGTCGTAGGGTTCTTCATAGACCAGCGTGGGCCCTTGGAGCCTTCGTTACAGGACTCTCAGAGGTCAGCATGACCCCTGCAGTCTGCCTGCGTTGAGGCCAGATCAGAGCCCGTCGTGAGGCCCTCAGACGCCAGCGTGGGCATTTGAAGCTTGCATTGGGTCCTAGAGGTCGTCGTGAGGGCCCATAGATGAAAGAGGTCGTCGTGAGGGCCCTCAGGGACCGTCTCGGGTGGAATCGCTGTGGAAATCGTTGTGAGGACCCTTAGAAGCCTTCAAGAGGACCAGCAGAGGTCATCATGAAGATCCTTGGCCATCATGACGGTCTTCATAGGCCCTGGGCCCTCAGGTATCTTTGCAAGGCCCTCAGAGGCTGTGGTAAGGACATCAGAGTCCATCGTTAGGGCCATCAAGAGACCGTCACAGGTTCCTCAGATGCCAGCATAGCCCCTGCAGCCTGGTTGTGTTGGGGCCCTCAGAGGCCGTCGTGGGCCGTCTAAAGCCCGATGGGCACTCAGACCTTAAATGGGTCTAGGACCGTGTCACGAGGGCCCTCAGAGACCGCCGTGGGGGCCTTCAGAGGCAGCGTAACCCTGGAGTCTCCGTGGGGTCCTCAGATGCCGTCATGGGGCACCAAACGCGGTTCGGGACACTCCTAGCGGGCGAGGGCCCCACAGACCAGCATAGGGCGCTCCTGACCAACAACTGGACGTCTGATGATCGGTGATTCCACATGATCGTTCGTTTCCCGATCACTGGTTTTTAGGATAAAATGTATTGGGGGTGTGGCAGGCCTCTTATACGGCTTTTGGAGGGTGCAAAAGGCTATGTTTGCACTCCAATGTTTTCCATGGGTCTGGAGCTGAAACCCCTGCACCCTCTATCCGGATTTCCGCTGCCCTTGAGCACCGAGATGACCAAACGACTTTACAACGCCACACTATCTACATGCAATCAGTTCAGGGAGTTCAATCTATTAACAGCATTCTGGCATAAATCATCAGCAGCGAGGTCCAGCTCCTTCCTTCGGAATGGCCCTCACCGAAAGTCCTGCTTTTCGTCCAGATAGTCCTCGACGCCGTATTCAATTTTATCATCTCTATATGCTTTGGGAGGGGCAAAAGGACAGTCTTGCCCACATGATTTAGCTTTGGGGAGGGCAAATGCCCATTTTGCCCTCCCCTGGATCCGCCACTGCAAGAGGATGTGAGCAAAGATCAGCCCTCAGCATCTTGATCTCCAGAACTTTGTGCCTGGCATATAACTGCTGGTGTCTCACGCTGTGCCCAGCTTCATGGAGAATATAGCAAGATACCTATAAGGAATATAGTGCCTGGTGTAAAAAACTTATTGCATTATTTTCACTATCCCTTAATTTAACTCAAGAGACGAGACGTAGGTTATTTTGCGCGGTCATTGTCAAATTCAGTGTGATTCAG